ATCACTATCTCAATAGATGTATAATGTCTAGAAGGTATGTATTTCAATTTCAATAGATGTATAATGTCCAGAAGGTATGTATCTCTATTTCAATAAATGTATAATGTCTAGAAGGTATGTATCTCTATCTCAATAGATGTATACTGTCTAGAAGGTATGTATCTCTATCTCAATAGATGTATAATGTTTAGAAGGTATGTATCTCTATTTCAATAGATGTATAATGTCTAGAAGGTATGTATCTCTATCTCAATGGATGTATAATGTTTAGAAGGTATGTATCTCTATCTCAATAGATGTATAATGTCTATAAGGTATGTATCTTTATTTCAATAGATGTATAATGTCTAGAAGGTATGTGTCACTATCGCAATAGATGTATAATGTTTAGAAGGTATGTATCTCTATCTCAATAGATGTATAATGTCTAGAAGGTATGTAACTCTTATTTCAATAGATGTATAATGTCTAGAAGGTATGTATCTCTATCTCAATAGATGTATAATGTTTTGAAGGTATGTATCTCTATCTCAATAGATGTATAATGTCTAAAAGGTATGTGTCACTATCGCAATGAATGTATAATGTTTAGAAGGTATGTATCTCTATCTCAATAGATGTATAATGTCTTGAAGGTATGTATCTCTATCTCAATAGATGTATAATGTCTAGAAGGTATGTGTGACTATCTCAATAGATGTATAATGTCCAGAAGGTATGTATCTCTATCTCAATAGATGTATAATGTCTAAAAGGTATGTATCTCTATCTCAATAGATGTATAATGTCTAGAAGGTATGTATCTCTATCTCAATAGATGTATAATGTCTTGAAGGTATGTATCTCTATCTCAATAGATCTATTATGTCTAAAAGGTATGTATCTCTATCTCAATAGATGTATAATGTCTAGAAGGTATGTATCACTATCTCAATAGATTTATAATGTACAGAAGGTATGTATCTCTATCTCAATAGATGTATAATGTACAAAAGGTATGTATCTCTATCTCAATAGATGTATAATGTCTTGAAGGTATGTATCACTATCTCAGTTGATGTCTAATGTCTAGAAGGTATGTATCACTATCTCAATAGATGTATAATGTACAAAAGATATGTATCTCTATCTCAATAGATGTATAATGTCTTGAAGGTATGTATCACTATCTCAATAGATGTATAATGTCTAGAAGGTATGTATCTCTATCTCAATAGATGTATAATGTCTAGAAGGTATGTATCACTATCTCAATAGATGTATAATGTCTAGAAGGTATTATCTCTATTTCAATAGATGTATAATGTGTAGAAGGTATGTATCTCTATCTCAATAGATGTATAATGTTTAGAAGGTATGTATCTCTATCTCAATAGATGTATAATGTTTAGAAGGTATGTATCTCTATCTCAATAGATGTATAATGTCTAGAAGATATGTATCTCTATCTCAATAGATTATAATGTCTAGAAGGTATGTATCTCTATCTCAATAGATGTATAATGTACAGAAGGTATGTATCTCTATCTCAATAGATGTATAATGTCTAGAAGGTATGTATCTCTATCTCAATTGATGTATAATGTCTAGAAGGTATGTATCTCTATCACAATAGATGTATAATGTCTAGAAGGTATGTATCTCTATCTCAATAGATGTATAATGTACAGAAGGTATGTATCTCTATCTCAATCGATGTATAATGTCTAGAAGGTCTGTATCTCTATCTCAATAGATATATAATGTCCAGAAGGTATGTATCTCTATTTCAATAGATGTATATTGTCTAGAAGGTATGTATTTCTATCTCAGTAGATGTATAATGTCCAGAACGTATGTATCTCTATCTCAATAGATATATAATAATATCCAGTCAATCTAATTGAAATTAGATTACATTTTAGTATCTTTTTGTTTTCAGAAATTTTGAGTCAACTTTGTAATCTTGGAAGATTTCTAAGAAATGTCTGTCTCAAAGGTAGTATTTTGCAGCGAAACTCATATTGAGACTGTCGGATTGCTCTACTTTGATATCCCACAAATCCTTATTTTATTCGGTTCTTTCATGACACGCTTTGATTGGTTTAGAATACTACCTTTCGACCAGGCCTTTGGTAGAGAATTATTTCGATTACAAAGTACAATAATAAAATATTTTCACTGTTAAAATAGTGCAAAAAAATCAAATCTATTTTTAATCAGTATGTTCATGATGAATGTTTTAAGTTGTAATGTTTCGCTTGTTTTATTTTAAGTGAATCCTTGTCAAAATGGTGGAAAAGAACAGCCTGATGGAACATGTGTTTGTACCGATGAATATACAGGCACTACTTGTGAAGGTCAGTACAGTTCATAAATTATTCTACCTTTTAGAATAGGAACCTAAACTCTGCCATATTTTGTGAAATATGGTACCAATGTCATTATGGAATTGTTCAATTCAATGCTTCAACTCTTTGGCTGGATTGAAAATGGAAGTCCTTCATCTGAAACTGACCTTTTAGAAACCCATATCACAATTACAGTAAAATCTCACGTAATGTTTTTAAATAGTTTTGGCGTTTAAAAATTAACGGCTGGACTTTTTTTTAGTTAAAACTTGTAGATACGTTAATAGCACATTTCTCCAGATTTTGGTGTATACTTTTCTCTAATTTGAGCAAAAATATATTTCAACCTACAAAAAAAGCGGAATGTTACTTTAATTAAGATTTCAACCTTATTGTTTTAGAAAAAGTGAATCCTTGTAAAAATGGTGGAATGCCTAGTGTGGGATGTGTTTGTACAGCTTATTATATTGGTTCTACTTGTGAAGGTTGGTACAGTTGGTAGATTCTCGAATAATAAAAATCTTCATATTTGTTGATATATGATACCAATAACATTTTGAATTTTTTCGATATTTTTTTTTTAAAGAGAATTGGAATTTCGGACACAAAAAATACTGATAATCTTAAAATGTCTGTGCGCTGATAGAAATATAATCTTTTGTAAGATTTCATTGAAAAGAAACACATTCTCTCCTAGGAATCGTGAATACGTTTATATAAGGTCACACTTACTTGGCAAAGGACCATGAGTCCAATATTTGGATCCATTATTAATGTCAATATTGGACTCGTGGCTGATTCAACCATCATGTTGGATAATGATACGCCAAGATCAATGGGTGACGTCACATCTGTATTCTAAATAAATATAAAAGCTAATCCAAAATTAAAAATTGGTCTAATTTTGGATTCGACTGTTAGCCCTGGACCCGAGATTAACTTGTCTAAGAGCCTTTCACAACTACAGTTTCTTCAATAAAAACTTCAACCTTTATGGTACCAGTGTCGAATTTTTTCAAAACAACTAAAATTTGACATTATACTTCACTGCAGTGGTTGAGTAAATAAAAGCTTATAAAAATACAGAATGGTCTAATTTTGAATTCGAATGGAAGCCCCGGACCCAAAATTAACGTGTTTCAAACGCATATGACAATGACAGTTTGTGCAATAAAAAACGTCAACCTTCAACCTTGTTGTTTTAGAAAAAGTAAATCCCTGTAAAAATGGTGGAACAGAACAGGCTAGTGGAAGATGTGATTGTACAGATGAATATACTGGTCCTACTTGTGAAGGTCATTACAGTTGATAGATTATTCTCAAATAAAAACTAAAAGGTTTTTTTCATGGTACCAGTGTCGAATTTTATCAAAACAAGTAGAAAGTATTTTTATTCGCTTTTGTTTTTAATTTAAGTGCTAAGTAAAAATAAAAGGCTAATAAAATACAAAATGGAAGATTGGTCTAACTGGAAGCCCCGGACCCAAGATTAAAGTGTTTCAAACATTTTTGACAATTACAGTTTTTACAATAAAAAACTTCAACCTTCAACCTTGTTGTTTTAGAAAAAGTGAATCCTTGTAAAAATGGTGGAACAGAACAGCCTAGTGGAAGATGTGATTGTACAGATGAATATACTGGTCCTACTTGTGAAGGTTAGTACAAATGATACATCAGCAAAGTCCCAGTTTGTTATCGAAATGTCTTCGTAGCTCACTTTTTTCGATCAAATTTTTCAATTTTTTTGAAACTTTTTTGTTTTTACATCGATTGATCTGAAATTTGAAACGCAGAGAGACTTCACTAATGTAAATAATATAGTACAGTCAAATATTGTACGTTATTTCCGCTTTTAAACAGGAAAGCGACTGAATTTCAAATCTACTTCCGGTTGAATAACTTCCGGTGTAATTCATATAGAGCAACGACACTAATATTGGTTTTTTGCAATTTCCGGTTGAATTTTTTTCGAAGTTTGAAGTCTCATATCTCATGACCTTGACCTTTGATGACTTTGACCTTCATTAGCTCAAAGGTCATTCACCTTGGCTATCAGTTGATACTATTCATATTTGACCTCCGACACCCACTTCCGGTTGTATGACTTTACGAAAACAGCCAAATTCGCAACTTTGGACTGCTCTAGCACGTGACCTAATTAACCTAAAGGGTTCATTTTTTTCGGATTCTTAATGTGCTTCTCATGCACCTTACATTGATATATAACAATCGTATTTTCAAAGCAAAATTGAAATTCGTGATTTTTTCAAATTTGAGTATTTTGTTTACAATATTTATGTCTCTTTGAGGTTGGTGTATGTATATCTTATGACCTATTTGATGTAGAACCTTGAAATTTGGAACACAACTAAATATGTTGAATATGAATTCACTTATGACAAAAAAGTTGAGGTGGGCGGGGCACATCCGGGTTGAATTACTAATTGTTTACATTTAGGGACAGGGGCATATCTCGCATAGGATACATTTGTTCAAAAAGGGACTTTGCACACAATTACCTCATCCTTTTAGCTTGTTAATGTTAACAGCTCAGTTGTTTCAGCTTTATAGTTCCAAAAAAAGGAACGGGTTTTAAAATTTCCATATTTTCAATTTTCGATTTTGACCTTTTTTGACTTTTGTTGACCTATATCTTTTGACCTGCATGATGTAGAAGCTTGACATTTCGAACACAACTTAACATTTTGAATATCAATTAACTTGTGTCAAATAAATGAGGTGGGCGTGACACATCCGGGTTGAATTACTCATTATTGACATTTTTGGCCAGAGGCATAACTCGCAAAGAATACATTTGTTAGAAATGAAACTTTGCATACAATTACTTCATCTCTTGAGCCACTTTGTCTTAGAAGTTTAGTTGTGTCAGCTTCATATTTCAAAAAAAGGAACAGGTTTTAGAAATTCAATATTTTCAATTTTGACCTTGACCTTTGATGACCTTGACCTTTCTTGGGTCAAAGATCATTGACCTTGGCTATCAGTTGATGCTTTCATATTTGACCTCTGACGTCTACTTCCGGTTTTAAAGCTGTCCAAAAACAGCCAAATTCGCAAATTTGGACTGCTCTAGCCCATGACCTAATCAACTTTGAGGGTTAATTTTTGTGGATCCTGAATGTGCTCATCGTGCTCTTTCCAGTGATATATAATGCAAAATTGACATTTCTGAATTTTTGAAATTTCGGTGTTTTTTTTTTACAATATTTTCGCTTCTTTGAGCTGGATGTATGCATATCTTATGACCTATTTGCTGTAAAAGCTTGGAATTCGGAACACAACGAGACATTTCACATATGAATTAACTTATGACAAAAAAGTTGAGGTGGGCGTGGCACATTAGGGTTAAATTACTGATTATTTACATTTTTATCAGGGGTATAACTTGTATAGAATTCATTTGTTCAAACTAGGGCCTTGCACACTATTACCTCACCCATTGGTGTGAAAAGGTCAGTTGTTTCAGCTTCGTAGTTCAAAAAAGGGAACAGGGTTTAAATTTACATATTTTCAACTTTTGACCTTTACCTTTGATGACCTTGACCTTTGTAGGATCGAAGGTCATTGACCTTGTCTAAAGATTAATACCTTCATATTTGATGTTTTACGTCAACTTCCGGTTTTATAATGTTTGTATTTTCAAAGTTTGATGACTCATATCTAGTGACCTTGACCTTAAATGACCTTCCCCTTAACATGGTCAAAAGTCATTGACCTTGGAAATCTAATAATACTTTCATATTTTATGTCTGACTTCTACTTCCGCTTTCACAACCTTCCAAAAAAAGGGAAATGCTTTAGCACTTGACCTAAATGACTAAGAACGTTGATTTTATCAGATTCTCTAGCAAATTGGCACATGAGCAAAGTCCCACTCAGTACCACGAGTGGTTCTAGTTTTATTTCTTCTCGAATAAAAACTAAAATATCTTGTGTGATACAAGGTAACAACGTCATAATCGAATTGTTCAAATCAATGCTTTGATCAAATTACATGACAACTACAGTTTCTTCAAAAAAGAAACTTCAACCTTGTTGTTTTAGAAAAAGTGAATCCTTGTAAAAATGGTGGAACAGAATCGCCTAGCGGAAGATGTGATTGTACAGATAAATATACTGGTCCTACTTGTGAAGGTTAGTACAGTTTATAGATTATTCTTAAATAAAAACTTAAAGGTTTTTTTCATGGTACCAGTGTTGAATTTTTTCAAAACAAGTACAAAGTATTTTTATTGGTTTTTGTTTTTACTTTACTGCAGTGCTAAGTAAAAATAAAATACTAATAAAATACAGAATGGAAGATTGGTCTAAATGGAAGCCTAGGACCCGAGATTAACGTGTTTCAAACGTCTTTGACAATTACAGTTTTTGCAATAAAAAACTTCAACCTTCAACCTTGTTGTTTTAGAAAAAGTGAATCCTTGTAAAAATGGTGGAACAGAATCGCCTAGTGGAAGATGTGATTGTACAGATAAATATACTGGTCCCACTTGTGAAGGTTAGTACAGTTTATAGATTATTCTTAAATAAAAACTAAAAGGTTTTTTTTATGGTACCAGTGTCGAATTTTTTCAAAAAAAGTACAATGAATTTTTATCGGCTTTTGATTTTAATTTACTGCAGTGCTAAGTAAAAATAAAAGGCTAATAAAATACAGAATGAAAGATTGGTCTAAATGGAAGCCTAGGATTAACGTGTTTCAAACGTCTTTGACAATTACAGTGTTTGCAATAAAAAACTTCAACCTTCAACCTTGTTGTTTTAGAAAAAGTGAATCCTTGTAAAAATGGTGGAACAGAACAGCCTAGTGGAAGATGTGATTGTACAGATAAATATACTGGTCCTACTTGTGAAGGTTAGTATAGTTGATAGATTATTTTCAAATAAAAACTAAAAGGTTTTTTTCATGGTACCAGTGTCAAATTTTTTCAAAACAAGTACAACGTATTTTTATTGGCTTTTGTTTTTACTTTACTGCAGTGCTAAGTAAAAATGAAAGGCTAATACAATACAGAATGAACGATTGGTCTAACTGTTTCAAACGTTTTTGACAATTACAGTTTTGCAATTAAAAAACTTCAATCTTCAACCTTGTTGTTTTAGAAAAAGGGAATCCTTGTAAAAATGGTGGAACAGAACTGTCTGATGGAACATGTCGTTGTATATATAGATATTATACTGGTCCTACTTGTGAAAGTCAGTACAATGTATAAATCATTCTTTCTACCTCAAACGGAAAAAATGTCTCTTAGCATAATAAAAATATCATTCCAATTATTTTTTCGACCGATGGTCAAATTTCTTTTTTTACTAAACTATCTCTATCTCAATAGATGTATAATGTCTAGAAGGTGTGTATCTCTATCTCAATAGATGTATAATGTCTAGAAGGTGTGTATCTCTATCTCAATAGATGTATAATGTCTAGAAGGTATGTATCTCTATACAAATAGATGTATAATGTCTAGAAGGTATGTATCTCTATCTCAATAGATGTATAATGTCTAGAAGGTATGTATCTCTATCTCAATAGATGTATGGTGTTTAGAAGGTATGTATCTCTATCTCAATAGATGTATAATGTCTAGAAGGTATGTATCTCTATCTCAATAGATGTATAATGTCTAGAACGTATTAAACTCTATCTCAATAAATTTTTTGTTTGTTTTGTATCAAGTGTATGTGTGTTTTAATGGTGGATCAGGACAACCTGATGGATCATGTAAATGTACAATGGATTTTGTTGGTCTAATTTGTGTTCAGTTCAGTTTTCAGAAATACAATAATCTGCTTGGATAACTAAATTTAAAATCGATTTGAGAGACTGACTAACTAATTGACTGGAATCACTTATATCATCTTAGGTTACGTTTTAGAGGATATGTAACTTTCGAATCAGTGAGCTAGAGAAAAACCCTCAAAAATGTATCCAATATTTTTGTAAATATTTTGCATACAAACTGAAAAAATATCTCCATTTAAAGCTGTGAATTCGCAAGTTGTTAAACCGTTGGAATTTTATCTCAATTAGAACTCAAACTACAAAATTGGTACATGTGAAATATGCAAGTGTACTTTCAGGGGTGTATCTCTTAAGCCTAAATTAGCAGACGATGTAAATTAGAGAGGACACTTTCTAAATTTGCAAATCCTTCATTATAAAAAATGCCATTCCCGGGATTCGAACGTAATAATATACTCTCTTGTATTCTTCTCTATATGTCAATTTAATAAATGTTAATGGAAGATTAAAATATGAATACCAGTCAACAAGTCAACACGTCGACAAAATGTTATCGGAGAACTCGTCCACAAAAGTCAACTCTTCGACAAGATTTGGTGATAATAGTCATATAATCATATGACTAGGTTGATTTATCTACGTGTGTTGTTTTTGTCAATTGAATTCTTGAGAGGTTTATCGTTATACGGTATCAATTAGATAACTATTTTTGTAATAAATATAAAAAAAAAACTGAAACACTAATTTAATTCAGTAACATTTGTCTGTGGGTCGTCTTTTGTCATGTAGACGAGTAGTCTGAATGTTGAAGACGAGTTATAAAGATTTGTCGACGAGTTGGTTGAACACTTATACAGTGGTGTAACCTATATAAGTTTCTTCAGATATTCTATGAAATAATTAAAATTGGTTTGTTTCGATTTTCTTTATGAATCTCTCACTTTGAACCATATTTTTATAAGCAACCAACTCGACAACGGCTGCAAAATGCAAAATTTATTTATCAGATTAATTTCTTGTTAAAAATTTGTAGTCTTAAAAATGCCGGAGTTGAAAGCTAACACGCTAAAAGTTTGAAAAGGTTCAAAAGCTGTTCACAATTCTAGGTTTTTGGTAATTGTTGTCAGTAATTTACTAATTTCCAACCGAAATGATGTAGCGGAAAACTCTTTAATTTAAAAAATCCGCCATAAAACGCTAAAGTTTTCTTCAAAATTTGTATGTGTATTTTTGAAAGAACTTCCAAGCAGACTGCAGTTTCAGAAAATCCTGCTTCGGAAATTTTGTCACTAACATTATGATTCCATTTTTACGGCAGACTTGGCAGATTGGTAGAAACGAAATTATCAATTATGATTATACAAAAACATTTTCCAAAATATACGTGAAAAGATCTGAAATTCATAAAAATCATACTTATCAAACATCAAACATATGTTTTGAATATACTTCCAAATTGTAATTCCACAAAATTTTTGCAAAATCCTAACCGTTAAGCTGCCATCTTGAAAAATGCAAAAAGTCAATAAGGGATGACATGACCCCAGTGCTCACTTTGAAGGGATAAAAAGAAATTGCTAAACTTCCTTTATTGCTCACCGTATGTTTTTTTCTCTATTTGAAATAGAAATTGAAAAATGTTTTTATTTTTGTAGAAAAGACAACGATGATGACACAGACATGGGTAAAAGATGAAAAAGACGGCTTCTACAGATTGATCACAACTTATGAATAGTGAAGAATCCTGAAAATATAAACGGTTTTCACTTCATCAATAGTTGTAGATTTAGAACATAATATTGTGCTATTCAAAAATCGAAAGCTAGTGTTCTGAGTAGTATATGTGTTTTCTGATCCGACGCAATACACCACTGCGCATGCGCAGCATTTTCAATACATCGGATCAGAAAAGACTCCAACTACTATATGCATTAGAAATACATCGGATTCGAAAAGACTCTCAACTGCTATATGCATCAGAAATACATCGGATCGGAAAAGACTCTAAATACTACATGCATCTAATCTATACCCATTTTTCAACACATTTTAAATACTATAAGCATTAAATCTATATGCATTGCCAATTTCCATCGAATCAGAAAAATGCATCAAATCTAAGTTCCCCCTAAAATAATAATTATAAAATAACCCCATTAAAAATAAGATGTCTTTAATTTTAAAACAGAAACAAGATAAATACGAAACTGATTATTCGGGAGATGGTTTCATTTCATCACTAACTAATCACTCTAATTCCCAAAGTAGTAACAAATCGCTTATTTCTTCTGAGGCGCAGCCTCTCAGTTCTGTTGCCAAAGCTAGATCTACGACTAGACGAAAACGATAACCCCAAGCCAGGGGAAGAGTCCGTCAATAGAGTTGACACGTAAACACGACATACTATACAGAAACAAAGACATAACATCTAGACACGAAGCAGACAAACAAATGATAAACGAACTTGAAAATATTGCAAATCCAACTTTCAAAGAGAGAATGCAAAGGACCCTAATCATAAAACTGTTAAAAGCAAAGTTGAAACTGGGTATGGGAGATTCACAAAGAATTTCGAAAAAACAAACATTATTTAAAAGTCAAAGTGTTTGATAAAGATGAAATATTGTCAGCTGATTTAATCAACATGCCAGTTGAAAGAGGGTATAAATATTGTTTAACAGTTATAGATTTATATACTAGATTCGCGTGGGTTATTCCTCTCAAAAACAAATCGGGTCTGACTGTTAAATATGCATTTGAAACCATAATGAAACAATCTGACAGACAACCCCAAAATTTATAGGTTGATTTCTTATAAAAGAAATGTAAAATCTCTGGGGTTTGAAATTTACAGAACACATAACGAAGGTGAAGCTGTAGTAATATAAAAGATTTAATAGGACTCTAAAATACAAATTATTCAAGAAATTCACGGAATTGAAATCTCAAAAATGGCTTAAAATATTACCAGTTGTTGTAGACGAATACAATAACAAAGTGCATTCGTCAATATGTGTGACGCAAACACAAGCCTCAAATAACCCGAATATTATAAAATCCATCAACACTCAAACAACTTTGAAAACGAGATAAACAATTTAAATATCAAACCCTAATTCAAAGTTGGAGGTCGAGTCCCGAGTTTGAAAAAGGCTACGTTGGTTACTGGACGAACGAAATATTTATCGTAGATAAAGTAAATAACACATCACCTCCAACATATGAATTGATCGATCAAGACAAAGAACAAATCATAGGCAGGTTTTATTAAAAGGGACTTAAAAAACTGACTTTTAAAAATGAATAGCTTTCTCGATATGCAACTGATACGACCACAAACTTTCAACTTATGAGATGAGCAAAGGAGTTAAACATATCACCGTTTTAGTATTGCATGCGAGATGAAACTGCCCCTTTTACACTCGGCTCCGAAAAAGTGGGCCAGGCCCTGAATGGTGCATGGCCCACTTCAATTTTACTAGTGTAAACGAATGCGTGCCTGGCTCCGTTTAAAAATTCTTCTGCGCATGTGCAGGGTTTACAACTTTCGTATCGGCGGCCATTAGAAATCTCGAAAATTATTGTTATTGTCCGCCATTTTGACTCGTCGTGGACTTTTTGTAATCTTTTTAATTAGAGAGCGCACGCTTATTTCCGTTTAAAGTGGGCCTGGCCCAGATCACAGAACCCCAGTGTAAACAGGCGTTTTGATCAGAGCCATGTAGGCACCGATCCGGGCCAGGCTCTCTTTATCGGGTAAAAGAAAGGTAAATTTTGTGCCATAACAAATATTCATACTTTGGATCAAAACGGAGTTCATCACTCTTTAAATAATTTCTATTTCGTTGATTCTTTTGGTCTAGAACCGACAGAAGAGATTCATTTCATTTCATTTCAAATTCAAATGCCAGGTCAAAAGATACGTGGACAGCTTTCACTTTGGTAAATGCAAATGATAAAGACCATATTGAAAGTAGAATAAGTGACATGAAAAGATTCTTCAGACGAAATAGTAAAAATTATGTCGACGAAATTAAACTACAAGGGATAACAAGTTTGAAACGTCTTATTCAAGGGGATAAAACAACTCAGTTACAAAATTTAATATCTAAATTAGATGATAAGATTGTAAAGCTAAAACCAGACGTTCAACGTTTAAGAGATAGACCAGGTATTAATAAAGAGACATTGAAACGAGAATTAACTGCTTTGGAATACAAACTTACTGATAACAGCGGTTTACAAGAAGAACTAGCCAAGATTAAATCAGTGGACAAAACTCAGTTGGAGAGTTTAATATCCAAATTAGACGAAAAGATTGCAAAGCAAAAGTTAGATGTTCAAAATATAAGAAAAAAATATCACACTGGGTATAGATGAAGATACATTGAAACGACAATTTCTTTGGAAAATAAATTTACAGACGAATTAAAAAGATAGCTTGCCACTGGCAGCTTTCTGATTTTCAATAGGGTTCATCCTTAGGTGATTACGAACATTCACACCAAGTTTTGATCAAAGTCAAGAATTGTGAATTGAGCGTTTTCAATTGCAAGGGCAATAACTCATAATAATTATTTTTGGATTTTTCTGTTTTTTAAATAGGGTTTATCCTTGGGTGATAACAAACACTCATGCCAAGTTTAATCAAAATCCGTCAAGAATTGTCCCTTCTAGAGTGTTTACAAGCTAAAAATGGAACACGTTTTCAAGAACAAGGGCAATAACTCATACTAAATATTTTTCGATTCTTCTGATTTCAATAGGGTTCATCATTGGGTGATTACAAACACTCATGCCAAGTTTCGTTAAAATCCATCAAGAATTGTTCCTTCTAGAGTGTTTACGAGTTAAAAATTGAACGTGTTTTCACGAACAAGGGCAATAACTTATACTAAATATTTTTCGATTCTTCTGATTTTCAATAGGGTTCATCCTTGGGTGATTACGAACACTCATTCTAAGTTTTGTCAAAATCCGTCAAGAATTGTGTCTTGTAGAGTGTTTACGAGCAATTGTGGACGGACGGACGGACGGACCGACGGACATGGGTGACGGCAATATACGCCCCTATTTCATGTGGGCGTATAAAAAGAAGAAGCTAAGGTTAAAAACTTTCTTCAAAATAAATTACAAGACTAGAGCCACACGGGGCATAGAGTGGGACTTTTCAAATGTAGCAATTTGCAATTAAAAGACCCTGAACAAATCAACCTTCGACGATAATTAGGTCAAGTGCAAGAATAGTCTAAAGTTGAGAAAATTTCATTTATAAGAAGATTCAAATACCGAAAGTAGGCGCCAGACCTCAGATGAAAGTATCAGCAGATAGCCATGGTCAATAACCTTTGATCATGTAAAGGAGAAGGTCTAAAAAGGTCAAGGTCACGAGCTCCCAAATGTACAGGCCTAGGGTGGAGCAGACACTTTATTTAGAAATTAGGATTAAGGGTCTTGATATTGGGTTTTCTTCTGTTCTTATTCTGATCTGAAATTAGAAAAAATAACACGCCCGATGGGCGAGAAGTATAGTATCTGTTATGTACTGATTGTTTTTAGTTTACTATGAACAATATTATTATTTAAGTTCTTATTTTTTGAATATGCAACTATCATTTTCTGCTTATAGACATGGGGGAATTTCTCTTGAAGGCTCTTATAGTGGGCATGAACTATCTTGCTTGCTCGATTGCTGGTTGTATTAAACGGGACAACAAAGGGTGCTATGCCTACATTATGATGAATATTTAGTCCTATAGGTCTTGCTGTATTCAATGTCTCAATCCAATGGGCCTCCCTAGATTGACGGAATTTGGTAGTTTCATCTTCGGGCAAGTCAATTTCTATACGCTCAATTGGGATTAGGGTGAGATCGTCTATTGAATGGTCGTCGAGGTTGAAATGATTAGAAACAGGCTTGTCTTTCTTTAATTTGATGTCTGACCTATGAGCATTAGAGCGAGTTCGTAAATTATTCTTAGTTTCTCCTACATATTGTTTGGGGCATTTCTTGCATGAAATTAAATATATTACATTCGAATGTTCACATGTTAGATCGGGTACCTTTTATTCGTAGAGTTGCTTACAAAATAATGAGTTTCTGATATAAAGGGACATGTTTTGCATCTACTGGACAAACATGGAGCACTTCTTAAACCTGGAGGTACTTCGGCATAAAGTCTGTTTTTAGCTGCTATCTGTGCTAAGGTGGAATTTTTTATGTTTCGTAAAAATCGTTTAGAGTACCCACGCTCTTTCAGTTTTGAGAAAACAATCGTACAGGCTTGGTTGAAATCAGAAGATCTTGTACAAATTCGATGAAATCTTAAAACTTGTGACTTAACTATGAAAGATGTGAAAGGAGCTCTTGTGCAAGAGTTGAGGAGTATCAGTTTCTTTGAAATACACTTTAATATCCAATTTTTTTGTTTCTGCTATGGATTCTCCCTTAAAGACAGTGGTATCGAGAAAGTCTATGCTTTTGTCACTCACGTTTGCGGTTAGTTTGATGGAAGGATGGTGGTTGTTGAGAATTTCAGAGAATTCCCAAAACTGTTCGATAGAATAAGTTTAAACCATTAAAAGTCATCCAAAAAGCGTCCGTAAAAAAGTGGGTCAAATGGACAGAGGGGCAACACCTCACGTTCCTACTCTGCCATGATAAGGTTTGCGTACGAAGGGGCGAATCGTTTGCCCATAGCTGTCCCTGAAGTTTGTAAATATGTTATACCATTAAATGTGAAAGCGTTTCGACTAAGACAAATCTCTAAAAGCTATAGAATTGCATCGTAGGCTCTGTTTGGATCTGGGTTTCTATTAAAAGCTTTACGAACTGCCGTTAAACCAGTAGTGTTATCGATATTGGTATCCATAGAAGAAACGTCGATAAAAATTAAAATAGCATTAGAGGGAACTCGAAGATTTTTTATTTTATTGACAAAATCGGTTGTGTCTTTAAGGTAGGCGCGATGTTGACATGCTAGAAGTAGTAAGAAATGATCAATGTATTCTGACTCTGCATATGACTCACTACCACAGTCAGATATAATCGGGCGGCCTTTAAGGCTTTATTTCGAGATAAACCACTCCTTGGTTGGATTCTTATGGATTTTAGGCAAAGTGTACAAATGTCTCTCGCGACAATCAGGTTTGGCAGACAGATAGTCATATTGTTTCTGTTTGAGATAACTAGTTTTGACTAAATCGGCAAGAATATTGTTAATCATGTTAGCAGTTTCTTTGAAAATTGGTTTCGGTAAAATGGCATAATGTTTAGGATTATTCAGTTGATTCTCTGCTTCTGAAACGTAATCCTCCCTATTCAGATTGACACAACATGAACCTTTGTCACTCTTTTTAATAACAATGCTATCAATGAATGGTGGTCAGCTTCTCTTAAAGTGTGGTTTGATAATGGTCGATCAGGACCTGCATAACCTTAGAGAGCCATGTCCGATTGAGGGATCTAATATTCAGCTGATGTTTTCATTGCTGGACCGTTCGTTAAAACTTGATCGTTAAAACAATATTTTATAGTTTTCAATTAGTTCATGATGGCGGCCGTAAACTTTCTTAAGGGAAGTTTTGTTTCGATTTGGTAAATGCTTGTAGTAGTAGCTTGAATTGTTAGATCTTGCTATATCAGCGTAGAGTATAGAACCAATTGAGACACATCTACTTCATAAGCTGGAGAAAGCGATGTTGCTACACATAAAAGGAAAACTGATGATTGGAAAATCAAAGTCATCACGCTTATCATATAATTTTACACTAATTCCCTGAGTTTTTGTCATATTCAAGACGCAGATCCAAGTAAGGTGCGTAGTTTTCGTCATCGGTTGTGTGGGATATATGAAATTTAAATATTCACTAAATTAAACATTATTTAAGGTGAGTACATTATCTATATACCGATAAGTGAATTTAAACGCTTAACTAGTCGTTCGTTATTTTATAAAAATAGATCAGCAAGTAGAGACACCCATGAAGATTCCTACCACGTGCTGATTAATGTCGCTACAAAATCCAAAAACAAAAAAAGGGAATCCAACATCTTAACAACATCGTTGGCGATGAATTTAATTATGTGATCACTATCATTCTTAGCAAAATATTTGAAAATTAGAACTTTGCCAGAAGTATTCACAAAGTCAAACTTGAAAACAAGGCCTCGACTTTACAAAGACATATTTCAACATTACACAATTACAAAATAAAACTTCCTAAAATCAAAAAATGTGCTAATTACAAAGTAGAGATATTGATAGTTTACTTTTCAAACTTTATTTCACATCAGACACCATTCAAACTTTCCTTTAAGAAAATGAATACTTAACTTTGCATTATTGACATTATCAACTATGTCTTCTTGACTTTGCATTCGTGAAAGATGTAAG